CTGCAGCACCTGCACGGTGAGTTGTACAGCAGCACCTGCACGGTGAGTTGTGTTGCAGCACCTGCACGGTGAGTTAACACGTGTGCTACGTTGTACTGTTATGCCGTATCTTTAGTGTGTATTCCGGACGTAGCAGTCCCAGGCCACGCTGGAGCGCCGCCTCTGTATTACACTGATATCAGCCCCAGCAGGCAAGTTGTCCGCGCTGCCGAGTGCCCGGGGGCAAGTCTCTAGTTTCAATTAATCTTCCTTCAATAGGCCTGCTGATATGCGATTCTATAATTTCAGCTAATTTGCCTTCCTTAAGTAGAGCCTGCTGATCCACGATGCTGTTGCTTGCTTCTTGTCGATGGTTGTGGTGGAGTGACAAGCGATCATGGATTTTACCCGTGAACCTCTCCTGTCGTCACTTGAAGCTCTTTAAGAGTTTACTTAACTCCCTTTATTTTAATTCAATTGGCAACACGTTTGACAGCCTCGTCCCTGCCACAGTAAGGAATCATTCCCGCACATATTGAACTCGGAATTTGGCTTTGTTGAATATTGAGTGTTACTTGCACAGTTTCCTGGTTTTGTTGTTACGGTATTGCACAATCCTAGAGGTGTCACTTCCAAACTTTGGGGCCTATCCGGTTATGGTTTTTCATGAGTACAGAAATAGGTACCTCTTCAGTCTTCAGCGGTACAGGTACAGGCACTTCAGCCTCTCATGTTTGTTCAGCTCCCCATCCTGCTGCTCTTGAACGTGAAGGTTCGCATGTTTCCCGAACCAACCTCAGCCAGCATAAGCACCGCGACCGAGTGCAAGCTCTCTGACTGTTAATTGTCTCACTGCGCCTACCATGAATAGATGCAAAGCTGGCTCGGGTGTTTAATGAGACACGTCACCAGGTGTAATGAAGTCTTGTACTCCATCGGATTCGTTACTCGGGTGCATCAAACATCATCCACCAAAAACTAATTTATTGAACAAGAAAAACGATTAAACAGTATTGTTAGAAAGATTGAAACGACTCTGGACAAGCTAGGTGCCCAGTCCAACAATTCACAAAGGGTGGCAAAGGTCGTAGCACGTCCCAGATCCTGGGAGCACGCGAAGATCCTTCCAAGCAAATACTTGGAATACACGGTCCCGGAGGCAGCTCACTCTCGTGACCCGCAACCCTATATTGGAAATAAATACTTACACACTGACTGATATTACTCACTTAGCACTTGCATAACAGATTCTATATATGATCACTTTTTAACCAATTTACATGAAACAGAAATAACTAATTTATTGTTAGGATACATTTGGTCTAATATAGCAGCTCACCAATAAAGGCAGTGTAAGATGACTTGAAGCACAGCAGAAGAGTGGCGCAATAGGTCAACTAGGCCTAGAAATGGGTTGTTCACGGTAGGACCTTCTCTTAACGACTGACCTAACGCACGGTATAGTCTCTCGTAAGAACGATTTCCTTTTAGTGTCTTCTAATATGTAACTGACAACCTTGCATCAGGCATGGTTAAACTAATACAAGTTAGACCAACGCCTTGCGGATGTGGTATTTTGTTCCGCCTGTGACGTCACGTGTATCATAAAAGGCAGATATTGCTCGTGAACTCTATTAAAAAAGTGGCTTCTTTGAATTGACTTTATGAAAAATTTACCTCGAATCTTCTAAAAAAGTGTACACAATGTCAGCTACTCTTGCTTAACGCCGGTGTCAAAATGCAATAATTTCGTGCGGTTAATGAATCGAGTGGGCTGACTTTAAGTGGTTTTTAATGGCGGCCATTAAAGTGCACGTCATAAATAGTGAAGTGCCCTCCAAACATACCACGTTTTCATCAAGCTAGTATTAGTGCATCTCTGTGACGGTTATCGTTTTTGCTTTTCACTCTGATGCTAGTTTACTATCCAGCTTATAATTGATATAAAATTGCCACGCAATGAAATAGCTAATCATATTATATCGATTTGAAATTTAGAGGCGATGAATCTAAAGGATAGACACAATGAATAATGTCTATCAAAGAGATGCAAAAATCCACTCACCCGACGAAAACGGACTTTCTTGACTAAGCTTTCCTATTATCAGATCGTCAGCTGAATGATCCGAGGAATGGCAATTATTTGCGAAGCACGAATTGATCTGTCAGCCTCCGAAGATTTTATTTTCCGTACAACAGTGTTAGTTTATTTTGCTGGTATGGTTAAGAACAAGTCTAGTTACAATTTTTTAAAATTTTGTAATGTTAATTTTTTTAATTGGTTCATCAGCGATACTTCTAGCACATGTTTGATGACACATCAGTTCAGGTTTTTCGATACATGTGACATCATAGCGAAGATTCGCAGATCGGTGCCAAAATTTCTCAGAGCGTGGGTCAACCTTGTATAGTTCAACCATGTCACCAGGGCTCTTTTCAATACTTTCCAATGTCACGGTTCCAATACTCTATTATTATTATTGTTATTCTACGAAGCATTTATCGTGGCGTCTGGTTCAAACAAACTTTGAGGGCACGTCACGCATAAGATTAAAAGCAAGCGAAAAATAGATAGACACAAGAAACAAATGAGGTATTCTCTAGTCATGAACGTCCGCAACACCTCATCAGTCGGATGCCTCTTGCAGTTATTGCCACCAAAATTGACCTTGCTACCCATCAATACTATGAGATCGTGAACGAAATGTTCCTCCTAAATTCGTGTGCTGTCCGGTGTGGTAGTTGTGTTCCAGCCCGATTCCCCGAGTTGCTCGGTATTTCAAAACCTACTACTTGATGCCACTTTGGCTCAGCCTTGCAACCTCTCGCAATATGTATACACCTTGTCCTTAATTGTCATCCGCACCCTAGTGTCGTCAGCAAATGTTGTCGAGGCGTGGCTCGCTTAACGATACGGACGACCGAGCTGGGCCTATACTTTCAAAGAAAGTTAAGAGATCGTAAGTTCATCAGCCAGTCATTGACAGCCTTTCGAGCAAAATCCATCAATCATAGACAAGAAAATAGAGCATAAGTACTTACGTTCACTTAGGGAGTTTTGAAAATATGGCCCCAGGACGACCAAGTACCAGAATAAACACCATTTCTAATGGCACCCCACATTTCAGCCTCCATTCGCTCGACCTCGAGTCTCCAACGACAGCTTGTAGTCTGCTAGTTAGAAAATATTGGATCCACGTCAATGACTCTCCTCCGAACTCCAGTAGTCTTAGTTTTCTGAATAGTTTTGCATGGTCAACTTTATCAAGAGCTTTTGTGAAGTTTCAATACACCACATTCACGCCTGCTCTTCCTCTAGTTTGGCCCGAATTCGGTGGTGATGCTCCAGTAACTGAGACAAGCAGAAGCGATTTCGCCTCAAACGGTACCTTATCTTCTGTTGAAAAGGTCAGCTTACTCCATGTACTGCTCCAAACTTCTGGCCTCGACTTTCTCTAACACTTTTGATGTGATGTTAATGTAACCGGGCTGTAATTTCTCTTGCAGCTCCTTTGTAGATTGGATTTATTACCCCCAACTTGAGGTAATTAGGAACGTTTCTTTTTCTGAACCTTGCTTTCCAGAGCTAAGTCAAAGGAACCTTAAGTGCACCGACATATCTTTTTCAGCAACATCGCAGGGCCTCCATCTGCTGAAACTGTCTATAATTCTTGGATACTCCTTTCCGTCAACAACTCTTCCTGGCAGTTTCTGAAGGAATTCAATCTTATTTTCTCGTTTTGACTAACTAGAGTTGCTATACACTTCTTCAAACTTCGCTCTTAGCAGTTCGCAAATGCCCTGGGGCCATACTTTCAAAACTCGCTAAGTGAACGTAAGTACTTACGCTCTATTTTATTGTCCATGATTGGTGAATTTTGCTTGAAAGGCCGTCAATGATTGGCTGATGAACTTACGATCTCTTAACTTTTCTTGAAAGTATGGGCCCTGGTCATATTCAGTGAGAACATCATTGTTTTTCAACGAGCTCACTGGGGTAGTTATTTTTGCTTTTGACTGGGCATATTTATGGAAATATTTGTGATTCTACCGCGGGGCTCCTACCGTTCATGTCTCTGTTCCTCAGGCTCATGTGAGGACTGCAACGGTAATTAAATTATTTCATTTATTTGCACCATCCTCCACCTCTACATATCCCTTGTGGCGGCCGTTAACTGCTTGTTCTAACTCGCTCTTTTCTCATGTGGATTCGTCTGTCTCTTAAACAGACGAATTCGCACCACGTCATCAATAACATCCTGCAATGCAGACAACCTCCATCCATTTATCGTGTGTCGTGTTCTTGCAGGCGGGGGCAACGGCGTGGGCAGAAACCGGCCACCTCCTCCAGTACCATCAACATCATCATCGTCGTCATCATCGTCCCATGATTATCACCCTGCGCAGCATCATCGACAAATACTGCATCACCACCAGCCCCACCATCATCACCACAAACAACCAACGCCGCCACCACAACAACCACAGCAGCAGCAGCAGCACAAGATCTCGCACGACGTATTCTTCTTGACGCCCATACTCTGCAGACACTGTAAGTAGTAATCTTGTCTGCAGTAATTGCCAATACTGTTGTTTGCACGCCAGTTGTCCCTGTTATCCTAGCTACGTGCCACCATAGTCCTATGCACATGTAGTTAAGTCTGCGGGTAGCAGCTTCAGCTTGTGAATGTATGTTCGCAATGTTAACTGAAGCGCTAATATGGGAGAGTGATTAGGGCTATAGGGAACTGCTGTGGCTTGCTGCTGCTGCTGGTGTTGTGGGTCGCTGCTGCTGCTGGTGTCGTTGGTTGCTGCTGCTGGTGTCGTTGGTTGCTGCTGCTGCTGTTGCTGGTGTCGTTGGTTGCTGCTGCTGGTGTCGTTGGTTGCTGCTGTTGCTGCTGCTGCTGGTGTCGTTGGTTGCTGCTGTTGCTGCTGTGTATAAGAGACAGCTTTTTACTATGCCGGTTTGACTTATCTCGCGAATTTTGTACCGAAACGATTTCAGTGAAAGGTTCAATGTTAGTGCAGTTCAATCA